AGGAAGTGGATAGGAAAATACTTCATGGCCACTCACTAGGATTGCCCCCTTGCTTCCACTGATAAAGCTAAAGGCAGGAAACCCTATATGCCCTATCTGTACATGTTTGAGTAAGGGCAGGAACTGCTTACAGGTCTGCCTATGCGTTCTGAACATCCAACCTTGACTGAAGACTGAGTTACACTGCCTTTCTTCAGCAAGCCATAGCACTGAAAATGGATGGGAACCAGGTGTACAGCTTCAGCTAATAGCAAAAGTCTTACTGTCTTTCAAGGAAGAATAGCAAGGAAGGAATCAAAAGTAAATAACAATTTGGCAACCTTACAAATACAGCCCTTGACAAAGATCCAACTGTACAGTCCTTTCCTAAGGTAACAAACTACAAGTCTGGCTGCTTAAATATTGAACCCACAGTGTTAATAAAGAAAGTGAAAATAGCATTTCTGTTAGACTGTAACAACACTGGAAATCTGTTGGAGAGTAAACAGGGGCACATATATAACAGACTTACTGGAATATGTGGCAAAGTGATGGTCACATCATCTCCTTTACCCACTTGGAGGTCTCCCTCACAAGACGTATCAATTGATGCTGGCTTAAAATCATCTAAAGAGGAAAACAATTGTGATTACATTTGTTAGAGTCTACAAAAGCATCAACGTGCCCTGCAGAGCCACCATACATCTACTGTGATTAAAGGGAATGGTAAAATATACACTAGAGTGCACAGCAGGGGTGGAATAACACACCAGTACATTGTGTCTATATGTAGCAACCCAGTCATGTGGTGGTACCACATTCTGAACTTCCTTTCAAAAATGGAAATGAGGTTCTAGATCTTGTGTTTGAACACCAAAAGCGCACTTCTCCAAACCCCAGGCTTTGAGTGGCACTTGGTTTTACAGGCAAGTGCAAAACTGTACCAATCAAACTCAAGAGAGTAACAACTTCCAAAACCTTGGGCTCTGCTTAGCTCTTGCCAATTCTAAACCTGAGGACTCTCTCTGTGACAAACACTAATTAAATTACACCCACTCATTTAGTCTTACTGATATTTCAGGCTCTTTAACAGCCATCTCACCTCTACAATAGTGCTAAAAGCTCCACATGGGTGGAGGAGATCTCAGCTCTCACTCACGAGGAAAGAAAGAGGTGCTGATCTTACTTCAGCAGTCTCCATGCTGGTGCAAAGCCACTGTGGACTGAAAGCATCGGTAAGGAGAGGCACTGTACTTTACTTTACTGGCTTTAAACTAACACTTCTTTTAGGTATTTTTGTTCTGTTGTATAGAATGCTGTCTCTCCCAACCAAGGCACTTCTGTTTAATGTATTCATTTGAGAATATTTTAAGTTAAAAGTACTTTCCCCTCATTATTCTGTTGGGCTGGTGAGCCATAAAAACCCAGGAAAAAAAACCATCAGAACCTCTAATATCTTGAGAAAGGATTTAGACAAAAGTGAAATAAAACCACACAGACATAGGCTAGTTTGCTTCGTGTTTGTTTTTAAAAGAAGCCTACATTCAATTCTAGCATCCTTGCATTTAAAGAGGTGAAATTATATTCACAATCAAGGCTTTTAATCACTGCATTAGTTATGAAACTATTACCTCAGAACAAATTTAAAATACAATTCCACTATGAAAAATACATTTGCAGGAAAAAAACCCCAAACCCTGGCTTGTAATAAATTCTCATTAAGAAGATGTTATTGTTTTATTGAGTTTTACTTTGACAGCACAACAAGCAGAATCAGACACACTTGACTTAATCCTCATGCCTTAACTGCCAGATCAAATCACAGCCCTCAATTTCATCTGAGCAATCTGTTTCCAGCTATTGTTTCCCACCTACTTTATGTGAAAGCTTGCTAAATAAAACAAACCAGCTGTACAAGAGCTAGTGTCTTTGCCAAAACGGGATCAAGAGTTTCAACAGCATAGCCACTAACTTAAAAGCAATACCACTATCAGACTTCTTTCTCAAGTATAGCAATATAGAGCTACTCAAGACACTCAAATAATTGTTTTCATTTTGTTAGCACGTGCTTGGCTAATCCTCATGTAGATTGAGAGTACATACTTCCCTCCAAATAGACCCACAGCTCTTTTCCCAAAAATCAAATTTTTTAAGATGTGTTTTCCAAGGATAATCCAGTTTCTTAGTATTTCAAAAATATTACGTAAAGGAATGAAGAATTTTAAGAGGGTCTAAACAAATGTAGCCTACAAAATCCTCTCATTGTAGTTTGTGTGAAGAGGATTATGGAAATAATATAATGTTTCGAGCCCAGATAAATCATTCCAGAACAATAGATAGGGAGAAAAAAAAACAACAAGGCAATGAAGAAATCTCATTTGAAAGTCACAGACGGAAAAGAGAGTATTCAGAAAGATCTTCTGAAATAAAACTGCATTCTTCCAGTTGTAGTCTGAAGAGCTTTGGCTTTGCAATCCCTCAGGAAATTGGTTATTGAAGCACTTTCCATTCTAGAAATCCAGTATATTTCCACCTGGATACGGCTTAGGTTTAACTCACACAGGATCAGGCATTTGGGTGACCAGTACCACTAAACCACTATTTGTGGTGTATGAATATGGGCAATGAGGCCAGGCCTATATTTCTGCATCATAAACCAAAATATCCTCCTGCTGTCTGTATAAATTCCCCACTTTCATAGAAAACGACTGAATTATAAGTTTAGTATTCTTTACATTTATTCTTGATGGTTTACCAGTCATTTTAGTAAAAATACCTGGATTCATTTTGCTCCTATTTCTTTCCCACAGAATTCAAGTACGGGAATTTAGTGAGTTCCTCTTCAAAACAATCTACCTCAGGATTTATCTTGCATTTATTAGGCAATACTGTACATGTCTGAGTGCCTTCATCTTGCTTTCCTGGGATAGAGATTTATTGCAGCTGGCTGGAGTCGGGACAGGGTCTGGGGGGCTCACATGGCTTCATGAGGAAAGCACCCAGTTAAAAACCAAACTCCGGGCGCTCCCGCTGCCGCTCCAGACCGGGACCTGTCATGCTGCCACAGAGGGAACAAAACAAAATGGCAAAGCCACCCCTTCTTTACGGGGGGAACTCTTTATACTTCCAAGCGATTAGCGACAAACTTTCTAAAGCTGTTCCTTCGCCTTGGCCTGCCTCGCTCAAACCTCCTCCCTGCCAGCATCCACCTTCCCTTTCTTCCCGAGCTGGACCCCTCTGTGAGGAAAACACTCGTGGAAAGATGGGCACCGAGGGAGCGGAAAGGGGGGAAACGGTGCTGGAGGGGCAGCAGGGAAAGGGGGGGAGCAGGGCGCTGAAGGGGATAGGAGGGAAGGAGGGAGACGGGCGGTGAGAGGGCAGGAGGGAAGCGGGTAAGAAAGGCGCTGAGCGGGGACGAAGGCCCCCGAGCGACGGCGGAGCGCAGGAGGCGAGGAGAGCAGCAGGGTGGGCGCGGCAGAAGGAGCAGCGCAGCCGGGGACGGGGCGCGAGCGGGGAGGAAGGGGCGGCCGCGGGGGAGGCGCTCACAGCGGATGGTGTGGAAGGAGGCTTTGGGCCGCCGCTCGAAGCTCTCGCCCAGCTGCAGCGGGTGCTCCTCCTTGTCCAGCAACGAGTTCGCCGAGCCGTTCATGGCCCCGCTCCTGGCCCGGCCGGTCCCTTCCCTCTCCTCCGTGCGCTGCAGCTCGGCGTCCTCCCGGAAATTCTTGACTTTCCCTTCCGGGAACCCTCTCCGGGGCTGGCGGCGAGTACGGCGGGGCGAGGCGGGGGCCCGGGGCCGGGCTGGGGCTGCTTCCCCGGGGAGGGTCCCCGGGGAGGTGGGAGTCCGGCGCTCCCCGCCCTCGGCAGGGCAGAGCAGGAGGGGCTTTGCTTTCCTTTGCTTTTCTTTCCTTCCCTGCCGGCGTGTCCGAGTACCGGCCACGCTGGAGCAGGAGCTGCTGGAGGGAAGCCGGTTCCGAGTGAGGGGACCGGGGGATCACACAGGGGTGTTACATGTTTGTGCTCTTAGCTCTGGATTAAACACCTTTAAAAGGCTCTCTAGCCTAAGCATGGGTTGAGTTTATCATCGCGCTGCCTTCCCAGCACGGCAGATGCGTCACTGAGAGGACTGGCCTGCGTTTGTTTGTTTCCCTCGCTCGTTCTGTGATGAAATAATGTAGCGTGCCTACAATAGAGGCGTGTGTAGAAATACGGCAGAAATTTTGCTGATTAAGTTTTTGTTTGTTGTTTTGAGCATATGCTCTTCTTTAGGAGACATCCTTTCAAAGGAGCCTCCTCTTCTGTTTTTGGAGGAAAAGGGGGTGTGTCTGTGACACTGGACGAAATTCTGGCAGTTCTTTTTTTTCATTTGCACGCTTCTAGTTGTGTTTGCATCACGACATGTATATATCATATGTAGCATATATAACATGTACGTAACATAGATACGTAACATGGAATGTATTTTATCATAAGATAAAATACACAAGTGAAGTACTACTCATTTTTGTGTTTGTTTCTTTGTTTGTTTTAGGGTATGTATTGTGTTTTTCTCATTTCCTTTTTGGTAAATTGACACCAGTGCCTGGCTCTGGGCACTGATGTACACAAGCAGTGGGTGTTCGCTCCCTGGGCTTTCCTGGGAGTTACTGGGCCATGTAGGATTTAATTCGCGTGTTCCATCATCCAGGATCTGCATGTTTATGACAAGCCAAGTGTCAGGACCAGTTTAACAACAGAGAAAATATTTGAGTCCCTTCGCAGCCTATGCGAAGCTCTTTCTGTTAACTTCTGAAAATAAAACCACCTGTGATTGTTAAAACCTGTGTGAATCTTCGCGAGGAGGCAGTGGGAGGAAGGCTGGCACAGGCCAGCTCTGGGTGTTTTGGCCACATGACTGCTTTTGTTCTCTTCTTTAGGTGACGTGGTGTTATAAATGCTGTTGTTTTCAGCAGTATTTTCTCACAGAGCTGAGAGCAGGAAGGAGAAATGCTAACAGGAATACACTTTGTTTCATTAATTTTAATGTGACTTTTAAATGTCATCTGTTCTTCAGTTACCTTTTTTTCTGAAGTGTTCTAAGTGAGGTTAATGAGAAACAAAGCCCTTGCTTTCCCTCTCAAGTCCCTTTTAGTGAAAAGCTAGAGCTGCCATCTTTTTCTTTTTGGGTAGCTTTCTAGGATGCAGAGGAAAGACCAGGAGACTCTGAAGTATCTTCTTTAACTTTGACATCAGTGTGATGTAGTTTACAGTTCTTAGTTTAGATGAAGGTTTTCTGAAATTAAGAGAAATCTGGTGACATGTAGGTCCATCAGGTAGGACAGATCACTAAAATTGTAGTAAGTGAATACTGTACTTATTTCTCATTTTTAATTCTGCTTCTAGATCCTTACTTATTCTACCTAATTAAGTGATGGAACCACACATTAAAGAAAAAAAAATCATTCTTGGGTCTTTGGTGTTCATGTTTGTGTGAAAGAATCTAGGATGTTCCAAGAAAATGCATCAGCCAGTTGCTTAAATATAGTAACAACACCTACTGAAGATGGTGCTTTCCAAAAAAAAGGTCATTGTGCTCGAGTCCTTAGCCCAGAAGAAGCAGAAAAACTGGCAAAAGATCAGGTTTTGGTGTCTGAGTTCAAACAATTAAAATTGGAGAAAGAGGCACAGAAGAACTGGGATCTATTTTACAAAAGAAACAGCACCAACTTCTTCAAAGACAGACATTGGACAACCAGAGAGTTTCAAGAGTTAAAGGCATGTCGTGAGGTGAGAGCTATACAATTCTCCTGTAAAAGATGAGATTGATTGTTTCCAGGGGAGTTAATAATGCTTAGAATAAAGCCATTTGATTAAGAGCTGACATATGTAAAGTTTGCAGTGCCTTGTGTATTTTCTTTTAATATCAAATATAGCTTCTCAGATGATAGAATCAGATGCATCAGTTCAGTTTCAGTTTATAATTGGCCCTTAGTGGATGGGAATGCTGTTCATAGCATCCTGGATGCTGAGAATGAAGTCTGGAATATTTGATTTTGGAGCCCTAAAGTAGACAGCTTGTCTCTCTGTGTGCAGGATGGTGCGCTTCAGTACACTGCTTTAAAGAAAAGCATCCAGAATTGCAGGCTAATTGCTGAACACAGTTAAGGGAATAACCAGATGCATCTGTTGTTCCTTATAGCTGAATGAAAAGACAGAAATGGTACAAGTCTGTTGATTACTTAAGGGGTAGATGACTGAAGAAATATTAATATGTTCTAAAATTATTTCTAATTTTGCAGAAATCAGGATGTCTGGGTTTTAGTGTCAGATTATGCAGTGGCTGCCTACTTTGTTTTTTTGAAGAACAGTAATTAAAATTGATTATAGCTTCTAAGATACTGGTTGAACAGTGCCTCTGCTCATATTATGAGAAAATAAAAATTATATGTTTTGTCTTGTATTGCTTCCTCCCCAGTTTGCAGATCAAAAACTGACCATTCTGGAAGCAGGCTGCGGGGTTGGGAACTGCTTGTTTCCACTCTTAGAAGAAGATCTGAATATTTTTGCATATGCCTGTGATTTCTCTCCTAGAGCTGTGGAGTATCTGAAGGTTGGTGTGATATTTGGAACTTCTTTTAGAGTGTTTTTTAGAAGCTTCTAAAATTACAAATGACTGTAACAACAGACTTCTCTGTCTTCCTTTTTGTAAGAAGGGTAGAATACGCTTTGCCAAAAAATTGAGGCTGATGCATTTCGTTGGAGATCCCATGCAAGAAGCCGAATCATTGCTCAAGACTTGGCTTTTCAGTGTCAAATTACAGCATTATGGTATATTACTTGAATGATTTATGAAGATAGTGTTTTTTAGGGGCACTACTATGTCTCTGCTGACTGTGCAGTACAAGCAAAATTTGTTTGTCATGGAAGCTTGCCCTTAATAGAGGGAGTCTCAAGGAGAGCCTTGAAAACAAGGCTGGGAAAATTATTGTTAAGGAAATTTGTAACCTGATTAGGAGTAGGTATGTTTACACTTAGTCGTGGGTACTGCAGTCCGAAGTCGAGCCTTGCAGCAGGGCTGGTGGGGGCTTTGAAAGTCTTTATTAAGATTGTAACCACAGGTAAATTTCTATGTATCTGTTAATTGAAAGCCTTGTGACCAAGAACCACAGACGCAGACAGCATTTGTCTTGTGAAAGATGGGAAGAAATACCCGTGGCAAGCAGAGCAGGACAGCAGCTCCCTGGGATGCTGTGGCTGCACCTCAGGATGAGGCTGGGCTGAGTGTGTGTACCTTGAGTTGAGATGACTTAACAGCATCTGCCTCCACAGCTCTTGCTGAATTTATTTTTTGCCAAACCAGGTTTCTTTGTCCACAGCAAAACTGCAGGTTATGTGACAGGAACCCCAATTGTTTGCAGTCTACCTGTAGCTCAGGAGCTTTACTTTCATCACCCTGTAATACGTAATTTCTTTCAATAGTATTTACGTATTCTTCAATAAGTAGAAGCAGCGGTAAAACAGAAATAGTATGTTTTATGAATTGTCTCAATACACACTCCTCAAATTCATGGGAACAGACTATTCTACAAGTTGTAGTTTCACTATTGTAGTTAGGAGCAAAGAATTTCTGATTGCAGTAGCTGCCTGTTGGAAGTTAATATTCTCTTGCGACTGCATTTTGTGTCTCTCTACTGATTAATTTCATAAGATTTTTACTTTACTGTAGCAACAAATGCTGCTAATTTTCAGTGAAAGCTTGCTCTTTTAATTTCCCTAGAAAAATGCCTTATATAGTACTGAAAGATGTAAAGTGTTCCAGTGTGATCTTACCAAAGATGATCTTCTAGACAATATACCAGCAGATTCCGTGGATGTTGTCACACTTATATTTGTGCTTTCTGCCATTCATCCTGACAAAATGCATCTTGTCCTGAGGAACATTTACAAGGTAAAACCAGCTGATTTTACAGCCTTTAAAGCACTTTCCTTCTTTTTAGCTTGAAAATACATTTTTTTTCTGAGAAAATGACTCTCTTGCAATGGTGATTTTTCATATTTTATTCCATGGATGTATTTTGTTAGTTCACTGAGTATGCAGGACTAAAATATATTTTACAATATCCTTTTTTTTTCTCCTTGTATTGTGAGATTCTTTGGTTTGAGGCCTAATTGATGCCATCATTGTAAGAAAAAGATATAAATTATGGCTTTCATGTACCTGAAAGGGGCATACAGGCAATATGAGAGCATGTAGTGACAAGGAAAGGGGGAATGGATTCAAACTGAGAGTGGGTTTAGATTAGATAGGAGGAAGAAATTCTTTAGGGAGGTGCTGGCATAGGTTGTACAAAGAAGTTGTGGATGCCCTACTCCTGGAAGTGTTGAAGGCCAGGATGGATGGGGCTTTGGGCAGCCTGATCTGGTGGAACTTGTCCCTGCCCATGGCAGAGAGGTTGGAACCAGGTGGTCTTTCTATCCCAAGCCACTCTGTGATTTTAAAGCTGTGACTTAGGTTGTATGCTATGAATAATGTTTATATGTTGCAGAGATGTCTGTGTTGATAAGGTGTGAATGGTAGTGAGCCAAAATTAACTTCCAGAGATCCAGTGACCTGCAGTTAGGATGTTGCTATTATTATTATTAAATGTATTTCACCTATGGTGATTTAAAAGTGGAATGTTCAGAAGTCAACATTAATCTAGAGACACTCGCCCCCCTAAGCTGTCTTTGTTAGTTGATAGACTAGGATAGGCCCATCCAAAGGGTGGTTTAAACAGCCTGAATTGTGATTTTTCTGAATTTTCCTGAGATGTCATATATTGACTGCAGAGGAAAATAGTCAACCTATTTTTTTATTTTTGCATATGTGTGTATTAAGGGTCTTGTATTTTCTGATATTATTTTGCTTATTATCAGTAGTTTGGAAAAGGAATATTAGGGTTTTTTTGGTATATCTCCAGCTGTTTTCCAAAGTCAGGATTTGTTCTTAGCTCATAGAAATATTTAGATATTTAGATAGCTAAAATCAACATGGGCAATGACCATGTACTTACAAACTTTAAACTCTTTATAGCTTGATTTCTTTACCAAAAAGCACTTCTTAAAAATCCATTATGCATTTTCTTAAAATGGCTTCATACTTATTTCTCAACACATTGCAACATTTTTCCTTTCCCTGTAAAAAAAGAATTGTCACAATATTCTAAATGTTGTTGTTAACCATTAAACAAAATCAGGTGCTAAACAGGATACTAGCCAACAGAAGAAATGCCCTGATGGGGATTTTTGTTAAACTGTATGTTTTCTTCTTTCCTCTGTGTTTGAAGAATGTTGCTAATTTAGCTGATCAGCACCCAAAGATGTATTCTAAAACTGGTTGTAGTCTTTTGTTCATGGGGAAACTTCTTTAAGACTCAATCCAGTTTTGCACAAGCTTTTTGTTGCACAGGGAATTAATTGTATCTATGTCTATCTACATCTATATATAGATGTAGATATAGATATCTCACTGTTGTATTGACTATATTAGTCTACCTTGTCTTAGTTACCAATGTCTGTATGTGTACACAAATAAATATCCCTATATATGACTAAATCTGTTTAGCTTATTAAAGCATGTGTGTATTATGTGACAGGTATTAAAACCAGGCAAGTGTGTCCTGTTCCGAGACTATGGCCTGTATGATCATGCAATGCTCAGGTTTAAGTCTGGCAGCAAACTTGGGGAAAACTTTTATGTCAGACAAGATGGGACAAGATCGTATTTTTTTACTGAAGGTAAGACATACTGTAGAGTGCTTTCTTTTCTGTGAATCTTCTGTTTAAATTTTCTCCAGGGAACTTCCAACATTCCCATGGAAGTTTTATTTTGTGTGGATGAACTGTTAAATTGTGATTTGTTTAATTTACCATCCTTTTTTGCAAGAAGCAGTTATTTAGACTAGCAGAACTTCGTGGAGCATTTTCTTGTTTATAAGCTTGTTGTATGTGCTATAATTCTCCAAAAGCAACAGTTTCTGAATTTGCTGAATTTCATTCACATTTGTTACCTAAGGGGAAAAGACCTATGTATGTTCAGTAAGAGAACTGATCATCTTCATGAAGCACGTAAGCAGTTCTTTTGGCATCATTATTTGATGCAGGGCTATTTCTGGTGAGCAGGATGAGGTCTATTGACTTCTAAAAGCAGAACCACGACTGCAGCACTGAGAAGCTCATGCACAAATCCTGCTGGGATAGCACTGACTAGCTGTGGTCACTCTGTCTTCTAGGGTTTGTTTTTTAGTGAAGACACTGCAAAAAACCATTTCCATGTGATACAGTATTTAGTTTTTTTCAGTGATCATAATGGTTTAGGAGGAAGGGTAGTTATTGCAGTTTACTGGTGGAGAATTCGAAGTACAGAGATGTGAAGGAATTTTCTTAGACTTCCACAATGAATTGGGATTATAGCTTGTCTGTAGCTTCTAACTCCCAATTCCTCATGCTAAACTCATTGCTCCCTCCTATCATTGTAGAGCATTGTGTAAGAAGAGCTCTGAATTTATTTCTGTGGGGCTCTTTGTTCTTAGTCTAAAGCAAAATACAGCCACTGAAGAGACTGATTTGGAGCCAAGTAAATGTTATTCATATTTTATGCCATAACATATTACCTGATTGCTTCTGATATATAAAACCCATTAATCTTGTCTGAGTTCCCCCTATTCTTCATAGGATAACGATGAAATCTAAGATAATGCAAGTTGTGCTACAGCTTCATTGAAGCATTTCTAAAACTGTTATTTACTGAGTGATCTTTTAGTTCTGTTTAAACAATTAGCTCTTACAAAGAGAATGGATGTTAAAGGGAACAAATAAGAGACTGACCTAGCTGTGGAATTTTAAATCTCGTTTTTATTGTGTTTTCAAATAGTTTCTGAATGAGAGGTTCCTTGCTAGTATGCGTGTTTCCCTTGGGAGAAGATTTGAGGTAGGGACGAGGAAGAGGAAGGAAGGAGAAAAGAGAGAATTTATTTTATATCACTCATGCCAGCAATTGTTTTTCCTTGGGCTGGTCTGTGACTGTCTCACAGATCACCTCTACTTCCGTTTTTAATCATTATGATCTCATTAATTTCACAGATTTTCATATAAACATTGCTTAATGCTTGAGAATTCTTTTGTTACTGGAGACGTGATTCCCATAATTTCCACAGAGGTTGCAACCCTTGCTATTTTTCATCTTTTTAGCACTACATTGGTACACCAAGTAATTGCTGCATGGGGTGATTTGAATGAAACTTATTTATAATATGTCTGGCCTCAGATAACAACACAGAACTTCTTCCATGGAAAAAAAATCCATTCTTCTACTGTTTGAAATAATACTAAATTTGTGGAGGAATGTGTGGTTGTAGTTTTGTATTATGAAATATGTGAAACTTCCTCACAATGAGATTTCAATAGGCTCAAAATTAAGTGCTGTTTATTTATATTTCATTGGTGTGGGTCCTCTATTTTACATGAACACACAATATTTACAGCCATGGTGGGCTTGGGTTGATATAAACCTGCAGTGCCCACCGAAGTGGGTGGTCTCATCTTCCTCAACACACCATCTCTGGTGGTGTTTCCTGTGCCCACATGATCACTGTTTCATTGAGCTAATCCCCCTGAGCAGTGAAAAATGGAATGTCTTTGTTTTCTATCAAGTAACACAAGTTTAGAACAGCTTAAATTTACTGTGAAATTGCTGCCTGAGTAAGTGAATTGAGGTGCAGGAAAGGAAAAATGATGATTTTTAATTAACATGACAAGTCAATAGCATGAGCAGACTTTACTGCTGCACAGGTCACCCTGTTTGGAGGTGCTTCTACCTTCCTTAAGGGAGCTATGCCTTGAGTAAATTTTTTTTGTTTATAGAAAATACTTTCAGTTCAACTTAGTGGAGTCTTGGTACCACCATGTCCTCTTTCCCATTTTGTGAGTTTTTCTGTTGAGCAATTGCATGTAACAGGGTGTTATTCTTCCCTGAGCAGAGGTACATCTGCACAGCTGGATTACCTTTGAAATATTTATGTTAACTGATGTATTCAGCTAGTGAAGGTCAGCTGCACAAAGGGAAAATTCACTGATGTCAGTCACAATGAGAATGACAAGGCTTAATAAAAATAAGAGATGTGGCAGTTTTTGGAAATTCAACTGAGTATCTAGCTTAAGCCCCAGTTTTACAAGCTATTTTGCTTAGGTTGATGTTTCTAAAGGAGGTCTTTATTGGTTTTTATTCAGCATTCTGCCCACACAGAACAGCTTGAAATCTGAAGGCCTGTATGATTTTCATGCTGTAACACATAAGAACGTATGCTTATATAAACGTTGTCTGGTGTTCTAAAAATAGCTTAAACATAATATTACTTTTTTTTTTTTTAAATTCTCTTCCAGAGTTCTTATCTCAGCTTTTCAAGGCTGAGGGATATGAGCAAGTGGCCAGTGAATATGTGCAGCGAGAAACTGTGAATAGGAAAGAAGATTTGCGTGTTCCAAGAGTTTTTCTTCAAAGCAAATTTCAAAAGCCTTTCAGTGAGACAAATTCTAGCTGATTAGCAACAGCACTGCTTGTTTGAAATGGAAGCTAGCACATGTGTGCTTCTCTTTCTGGTGAGCCAAAAATGATGGCATCCAACACCCCTTGTTGGTTTCCATCCTAGGATGCAAAATATGAATGCTATTTCTAATTGAATTTTAAGACGGTTTAGTGATGCAGGCAACCTGTTGAGCATCTGTGTTCCTGCTTCTAAAATAAAACCTGTGCAACATTGTTGGAGGATCAGGTAAAGCATATAAATAAACTTCCATTTTTATTAAAAACTGTTTTTAAATAAGTATCCTGTGTTTCCTGTCACTTGTGATTTTTTGAGGCTTGTTAAAGTTAGAATAGTTCATTTACTTTCAGTACTTGTAGGACTTCTGAGTGTGCTTTCTCAGATACAGGAATGAAACAGACTCAATGAGCAGTATAGTGTAAGCTGCCATAATATTTTGATAATGGTATCTTTTTAATATGCTCAGCATTTAGATTTGTAAACAAATGTTTATATTCTAAATAAGATCCTAATTTATCTGATTACATGCTTGAAGAAGCATGTTAGTGGATCAGGTTGTATTTATCCCTAATTAATTAGAGATGTTCTTCATTTAATGTACAGAAATATTTGAAGTTTTGCCGGTCAGTTTTGTGTTTGAAACTGAAATCAGCAAGTCAGGAGTACTTTCTTTGATATGAAGTGTAGTCAGCTGCTTCTTTCCTGAGCAGAGGTCTTAATTCTTTTCCATCACTCTCAGGAAAGCTGTGTTGGTCTTTGCTCTTCCTGCCACTAAAAGCCACTGTACTGTTGCTGCTGTGGATGTAACTTCTTGAAGGAACTTCATCCTTTCCTTAAAGCTCTTTGCACTGTGGCACTTTACACTGAAGGACCTTTTCTGTGTTCTTGGGTGATGTAGTTTCAAAATCATGCCTGGGTCTTTAACCTGTGTTTTGAACAGCTGCACTGAAGCAGAGGAAGCCCAGAAGTATCCAGTGACTTGTACAATGGCTGGAGCTGATCCTGTGTAATGTACACAATTCGCAACACGGGAAATTCCAGTGAAATACTAAGGGGACATCAAATATGGGGACAGGGCCCAGAGAAGTTGTGGAGCCTTCATTATTGGAAATACTCAGAATAAGACCAGCCAAGGGCCTGGAGCATCCTGTGACTTTGAGGGTGGCCCTGTTCTGAGTAGAGATTTCATCTCTGGCTATGTCTATGAGTATATGATTGCTTGATTCAAGCTGTCATTCCATTAGACTTGTGTGTTGTTAGATAACCCAGTTGTACACATCTGATGTGGACCAGAGGTGACTTTTCCCCTCTGTTTATGACATAAGATATAATAATGATTTTTTTTTTCCAGGCTCTTAACACTGGGTGTATGTGCATGAAACGGAAGAAGTAATAATTTTGCAACCTGAAGCTTAATGTTACAAAGTTAACCAGTCATTTTTTTTAACAAATTGGAGCTGCCAAAGGTATTATTCAGTTGATATGGTTAGAAATAAATTTGCAGCAGATCACAAATCTTTGGCCTCAGAGGAGAAAATGCTTAAATCACTCTCAATTCTCCTAATGACTCTTTGAGGAGGGTTATTACGTGCCATCTCCTTTTATTTTTATGGAGAGTATTATCCCAGAGATTTATGCATTGCTGGCCCCTGCTATGCAACCCATTAGCTCTTTCTGCCATGCTAGTAATAAATATCTAGTAACATTTACAGTAAATGAAAAGCTATGCTAAAAAGTGATAGAACAATGACAGCACTATTCTAATCTGAGCTATCATTATTGGGTGGCTTTCATCAACACATGTTCGTCTTTTGCACAGCAGTTTTGCAATGACTACATATAGTCTGAGCTCTGCTGATATTTAGTGGTGGTTGCAGCTTGTAATTCCAAGTGCCTTTCAGGACTGGAGGCTCAGTCCTTTTGGAGTGTACAGCACATAAATGAAACTGAAGGAATGCCTTGTGTTGTGCTTTATCATAGTGCTGTGTGCTTGTCAGCATATGCAAAGGCAAGTGCAATGAACTGTTCATCTCCAAAAGAAACGAGATGTAGGCAAGAATCAAAAATGTTAATCAGAATACCTGAGTCAGCCCAATAGCCTTAGCTGCAGACAACCACTGAGTTCCTTTTTACACTGAACTAACAATTGCTAGAACAACAATACATGTTTTTGTGTGTGGCTGTAGCTTCAGTATTTCTGTGTACACTTTTTTGTGTAGGAGTGTGTTAAATGGAGGGCAATATTTCTAACTTTTTTGTTGTATCTCATTCAGTCTCATTTCCAGTCAGACCTGCAAAATAAAGTAACATGCATTAATGCCCCTGCCAGAAAGATCTTCTGCTATAGTTCTCCTAAAGCAGATGTTATTTTGAGACGAATGGTCAGAAAGGTTAATTTGGTTTCTATGACTCTGCTCTGTGGACTTTAAATCATAGCAATTTTTTTGTAACTGTGGCAAAGTTTGAGGAAGTTGAGTCAGCTTTAAGAAATCCTTGCCCCATCACGTGAGACACAGTAACTCATAGGGTGCATGAGGTTGCTGCAGTGCTAAGTGGATCTACTCTCCCCAGCTCTTCAGCCTTCCCAAGCTCAAGTAAGCTCACCAGCAGCACAATGCCAATGATACCAGTACCTTGTGTCCTTACTTGAACAGTAATGGGACAATAAGTTACTGGTTCAGACTGAAAGAGGGGTAATTTAAGTTAGGTATATGGAAGAAATTCTTTACTGTGAGAGTGATGAAGCACCAGAACAGGTTTCCCAGAGAAGCTGGAGAAGCTCCATCCCCGGCAGTGTTCGAGGCCAGGCTGGATGGGACTCTGAGCAACAGTGGCAGGGGGATTGGAATTAGATGATCTTTAAGGTCTTTTTCAACCCAAACCATTCTGTGTAGAACTGTCCTCAGGGAGATGTAGTAATCAGGGATAATGGTGTTAAAATTACTTGAAAAAAAACATATATGCACGGAATCATGCTCACTTTGCACAAGCAAGCTACTATGCCATGATTATAATAAATGTCCTGATTGTTCTTTGATTTAAGTTGTCTGCAATCAATGGAGGCTGCTGAGATTACTCAGTTGTCTGTAGAAGACCTGCTTTTTGTTCCCCTTAAGATGAACTAGCTGCTCTATTTGGCAAGCATAAGTAGTAAGTTCCTTTATGCCAACACCCTGTTCTGAGCAATATTTAGGATATAAGCAAATAATTGTTGAAGTAATAGGACTGAGAAAATATATGTATTTTCTTTAATGATGTGGTGCCCTGTGCTTACATTCTCTGATGTTTAATAAAGTATGAACTTGGATTAAGGCTTTTCCTGAAGTCGGGGAATCTGAAGTGCCACTTTTCAGTGTGGGCTTCTCTGATGTCTCCTCCTGGAACTGGACTGCATGTATTAAGGAAGGTTGTTAATGAGCAGTGCTTCAATGAGGATATGAGTAAGGTCTGACTGTCATCTATTTTATCAAATTTACAGAAGTATGAAGTCTTTGAGTTATCTGACATTGTGTGTCCTCTCTGTCCAAAGATAGCTTCTCTCAAATTTGTTTGATGTTGTCTGATGTCTGACAACAAGTTATGACTAGACAGAAATCCAGCAGGTATTGTGTCTATATTACATGGATGGGTGAGCTTTCTTTCCTTAGAAATATGCACTACTGAGAAAAAACCCCAAACATTTGAACTTTAAGGTGATAGTATCACAGCAGGTTTTATGTGGTTCATTTGGTAGCTAAAAAGCTATTTCAGGTGCATCTTTCAGGTAGCTGAAAGCTCCTTGGGTTCCAAAGGCAGAATATTTAAGTAATTAATATAATACCAGGGCCATGGTTGATTGTGCATCACTTCTATTAAACCAAATTCTATAAAAGAGGGACCTGAAACTCCAGGAGCTGTAAGCATCAGCAGTGAACTGTAAAACATACAGCCATGGTCTCTTAGGAGAAAACTGGTATATGAAATTGAAAAGGGTCATTTATATGCTCACCTGTTATAATTTTTTTTGCTTGATCTGTTGAACAGTTCGTACATCTGAATATAGTGAGAGATACAAATTACAAATTAGGAATGCTTTATGGAAGAGTTAGTTGAAAGATATTCATATATATATATATTTGGAGAGGATATCAGCATTGAACATCAATGTGTGAAGGAAAAACGGTAAGATTATGTTTAAGTTTCTGGGGAAAAAAATCCTGAGTTTCACAGACCAGGAGTGACATATAATTAAATAAGCTGTTCATCTAAAAAGTGAAATTTTGGAAATGGAAGCCTGCAGGTTCCATAATTAGACTGATGTTCCAGGGAGACAGGAAGGTGGCATCTGATTCTGTGTGATATTAGTAATACATGCAAGACTCTGTGGGAAGCAGAATTTTATATTGGAAAGATATTGCTGAGATACAATTAGTGAAAATAGAGAAGTATTTTTTAAGGAGTTTTACCTTACCATAATATAGCTGTGATGAATTTTTCACTGGTTATGATTGTTATCAGGAAAGATTGGGAGCCATTTCAAACATTTGGGAGCGAACATTTGCTAGTTATACATACTGCAAAAGCATCTGACCCTTGGGTGCAGTAGGCTCAGGATATGAGTATGTTTGTGCTCTGTGTTTGTAATGTGAGTTCATTTATTAGAGCAAAGGCAGATGGTGAGCCTGCACTGTGGGGAGGCACACAGAGGCATTGCTTGCAAAGATAGAAGCTATTAGCCAGGTAAGATGTTCCATTAGAGAATCTTTTTCATTCCCACTTCCTAGTCTGATGTGCACCATTCATTGTGTTTGCAGCAGGGTGCTGTGAAATCAGGGAAGACAAGGGCACAAGAAAAAGACTACATGATTCTTCCAAATGAATGGTGATTTTGTGTATTTCTACTTAAATGATTATCTTTATGACGATTTTGCCCTCTTTCCCAGTAAATTTTAGGTCTCATCCTTGGAAAATTTGCTTGCTCTTTAAGGTCTTCACAAAAGACTTAGGCTTAATTTGCATGCTTGAAAAATATATGATGTGAAATATTTAGAAAGGCGGCTATGTGACACAAATCCAGCTCTGTTTTCCTCCACTGACTTTTAAGAAGCATTATACTTCACTTGAGGTGCTGTGCTGTCTTAGGTTAGATGGCACCAATTGACTGCAGCTATGGTTTCTGATGCCTGTAGCATCCAAAGAACTTAGGATGGAAATAAATGAGGATAGTTACAGGGAAAAGTCAGAAAGGAGGCAAATTGCAAGTAGACAAGCCTGCCTACTGTCTAGGTCCCACTCAGTATT